GGGGGTGCATATTTCCACGAAACGTTTGTTCGCCACCATAGAAACAACTAAATATATTGTATTTATTGTATTTTTATGATTTATGACAAAAGTACGCAAATATTTATTGTTTTTATCATAAATCATGAAAATACAATAAATACAATGTACAGTAGTTATGTTTCTGATCTGTGGTGGCGAACAAACGTTTCGTGGAAATATGCACTCCCCCCCTCCCACCCCACCCCCCGTCATGTGTCCACGAGAAGTTTTCGCGCAGATTGCGCGTGACTTTCAAATGATTTGTTTTTTATTTGGAACCCAAATGGTATACGGGATGGTTTTTCGTCCCAAATGGGACAAATTTTGTCAACTTTTCGATTGGGACTATTCTACAATGAAGTACTCTTGGATACTGTAATCTAAATACATATGAGAATGGAGAAGTGGCATTTATCGAACAGAGAAGCGGCGAGCCATTAAAATGGCGGCAATTTGACGAAATATCGAAGGACACAATATCGAAGATAAAATACACTGCACAGTTCCAAAACTTCATGAAACTTGGGTGAAATACTCTTTAGCCATTTATGATTAAGTAAAAGTACAACGACTGGATGATATTTGCGAGACTCGGCGATAAAAAGCAAACAAGACGGCAAAATATGGCTGAAATCGTGTTTTCGTGGGGGGTAAGTGAAATAAAATGTATTATATTAAAAGAAAACAATGACAATCCTTATGAAATCCACAATAATTATATTGAACTAAGCATAGTTTTTCATCCCATGATAATTTTTTTTAGGAAATAAGAAAATTTAATTTCTGCCAGGCATATTAGTTATTTTGTGCATAGTCAGCATTTTACCTGGGGTGGTGCATAGTCATTTTCTGGTGAAATATTATACTTAGACAAATTTTTCCTTCCAATAACCACCCCTAAAAGCAACCCTTATAAACACCACAAGCACTTCAGAAAGGCTATTGCTTTTCCTTTTCGGAAGTTAGAGCTATGTCGACACTGCCGTTTCAGGGCGGGGTCATTTTCAGGACTTTCGCCCCGGATTCAGGTTTTCGCACATATGCCATGTTGACCGCCATGGTCATTTTACCCTAAAACAGTTGAGATTACCTGTCCTAAATGAATCGCATACAAACTCATATATAGGTCCTAGACTATTAGTCAGAATCGCATATTGCAACGGTGAAAATATGCGATCTGACTAGCATTTTTTATCAGACTCGTACTTGCTTATTTTTTATCCATTTGGCATGAATAACATATCATTCAACAGCTAAAAGCCTGATCTTTCCGAAGATGAAAAAATCTCGTTCATACGCAGTAATTCAGACACAATAGCGCGCTGACGTCCGATTACTTTTATTTTGACACACCCTGTATAAAATCAACATTCATCCTGGAAATTATTTACAGCATAATTACTACATATCAGATTTGATTGACAGGCGTATTGATTTCGACCAATGGGAATTTTGCGTTGTGTGGGCAACGCGGATTTCATTTCTTAATGGGTTGTCTGCAGTCCCTCCTTTCCTTTCTCGTGCCCGGAAATCTCGTGTACGGAAATGAACCCGCGGAAAGGAGGGACCTCTCGCAGTTTATCGTGACATTTTTAAAAATATGATGTGCTGCATTAAAAAAACTATTCGTAAAAACTATCCGCAACCCGCAAAAATCTATCCGCAACCCGCAAAAAACTACCCGCAACCAGCAAAAAAGCTACACGCAACCAGCAAAAAACTACCCGCAACCCACAACAAACTACCCGCCACCCGCATTTTCCACCAAACTCTTCAGGGGTAAAACTGTTTGACATTTTTAAATGTCGTATATGTTTATGCATGTTCATCTATACTTAAATGTTTTTTTCTTTCGAACTATAATTAATTTTGGTAACACAAACAGTAGTTCGTTGTTTTACGGCAACAGACGCGTACGACATTCACTCTAAAATATATTGCCTACATTGCTTTGTGTAGTTGGAAAAGAAGAACGGTGACTCCAATTTTTTATGTGCACTATTTTACTTAGAACATAGACTAAGAATAAACAAAATGGAAAAATTTCTGTAATGCCATGAAAAAATGTCGGTTTCTTCGATCTAATTATTTTATATGCGTATACGTCCTTTCGTTAATATTGGGTCATGCAAGCGGGTTTGTTCATACAGCGTAACATTCTTCTGTCAAGGATTCTGTGTGGATACCGAGCCATCTAAAATTTTATTTTAAAATTTCGAAAAAATTTAGTACACCTTCTTACGGCGAAGTATATATATAGTACTAGTGTTAATTGAATGGCACTGCTAACACTTAACACTTTATTACATGTTCTAAACAGTGATGTGTAAAACAACATTATTAATGTGAAAAATATCAATTTGTTTATCAAATGCTTTGTATGTACAAATAACATTTTATTAGTTCAAATTGATTAAAAAAAAGGATCCATTATTACCAGAATACCAGTAAAACGTCAAGTTCCTTCTCCCTGAGGACAGCTCTGCAATTAATTATCCTTCAAAAACTCACCAATAATTCAGGAGGAAAACACAAAGAAAAATCATAAGCGTGTCGTGGTTATATATATTTGATAAAAATCATGTTAATTTACATAAACTTTAGCTTTGATTTTCTCGGTTTAGACAAAGCTTATTTTAAAAATTACTTCGCCAATGAACTCGGACTATAAGATGAGTCGTTTTTGAAGCCATTTAAAGCACTTGTAGTCGTGTTTTATCACATATTAAACACTCCGCTACGCGTCGTGTTTTATATGTGATAAAACACTCCTACGCGTGCTTTAAATAGTACATAATGTATCGATGAAAGCATCGTGGAATCGCAGAGCCGCAGGTTCAATCCCCCCCAGGGACCTAAAGTTGCATTTTTTCGCTTCTGTTCCTGGTTAGATCTAATAAATGTATATAAAATTCCACTCGACAACTTCCATCTACAATACCCATCAAATATTATTCATTCGAGTGAGATGCAACAAAAATCGTGATATTTACCCAAAAATGTCTGCATGTCTCCATGTGAAAAAGTATCCCGGTTTATCATCGCAATCGTAGCGATGCTTGGCAGGCCTATAGCAAGTTATGTAGTATTTAAAACACGAGAAGGAGTGTTTTATCATATTTAAAACGCTCGGCTGCGCCTCGCGTTTTAGATATGATAAAACGCGAGTTCGAGTGTTTTGAATAGCTTAAAATACGACTACAAAAGAATACTAATTAGGATGAACAATTATATAATCATACTAATTAGGATGAACAATTATATAAAGAATACTAATGAAGATGAGTTTTATCAGATACAAAGTCACTCCACGTGACATATTATGGCTGACATGATTTGCCACAAGGTTTATGAATTTTTAATGAGTATTTTAAGATTAAATACAATCCATGCAAGCAAAATTATAGCCATTTGAAATGTGCAAGAAGTACCAAAATGAGACTGTTCAGGCTTTATAAACTTCGGTATTTTCAATAGTTAATTTCTCAAAGAGAATACATGGTATTATATTCACTATAAGGCGGCAGTCAGTGATTACCTTGGTCAATTAGTTTCGGAAGAAGAAATGAATGACAACTATTTCTCGTATTGATCTATTGTTTTGTGTTTAATTAAAATACTCTATGGCAACCATACAACTCAAGCTAGCCTGTCGCTACAAGAACCATCATAATTGTATTGTAGGTGTTTATATAAATATATGTTTCACTTTTCTATAGTCACTTTATGTCAACCAAATCCTTGTGCCAATGATGGAAAATGTTCTGTACTGAGAAATCACTATAGCTGCGGATGTCCAAAACATTATATTGGAAAACATTGTGAAGGTATGTTGTGTTTTTTTTCTTTGGTAATTCTTTCCTTGTTCTCATTTTCTAAACTAAACTAAACTAAACTAAACTAAACTAAACTAAACTAAACTAAACTAAACTAAACTAAACTAAACTAAACTAAACTAAACTAAACTAAACTAAATATGCATAAATGTTATTAGACACGCGACTCCCAAGTTCGTTGCAAACTTGACAATTAAGTTTGAAAATTGGGCGCGAACTTCGCAACAAAGTTCGCAAAGTTCAATGTTTGAACTTGGTTGATAAACAAATGTTCATACTCAATAATAATAATCAATTCAATGAAATACAAACTTTCTTGGTAAACCACTGAACCAAGAACTTTCCATTGAATTGTTAATTTCAACTTGAACGATGAACATTTGTTTACAATAGTACAATTTTGTTGCGAAGTTCACGCCCAATTTTCGAACTTGGAAACGTAATTGGCAAGTTTGCAACGAACTTGGGACCCGCGCGTTGAAAAGTGACTTGAAATCGACAATAAGCTGACCAGCTTTGTTGAACGGGTCCCTGCATATTGCAGTATAATCCAGACGTATGCAGTTTTAATTCAATGATTCTTAAACTTATTTTTTCACCAGTTCTCAATCCCTGCCGTACTAACCCGTGCCTAAACGGTGGTGAGTGCGTTGCCAGTCAGTTGAACAGCGGTTACACCAACGACGGCTTCTCTTGCAAATGTTCACGTGGTTACTATGGCAACATGTGTCAAATGAAATAAAATCTGATAGTTTAAGGTGGCTCGATATAGTTATCACAAGAACCCTGCTCAAGAATCGCGAACTCAAAACGGGTGACCATTTTTACGCGCAGGTCTCGGAAACTGATTAACAAAATGAAAGAACTTCCAAAATGACCTGACGTGAGCAGTTGCTCGCGCCATATCACGCCATTGAGCGTGTTCTACAGCGTTTTATGTCAATTGCTGACGTCATTAGAATTTTCCATTTTAGAAGAACAATGCGCTATATCTCTTTATTTTGTCTGGTGACCTATGTTCAAATTTTGCATGCTGTATTGATCCGCTAAAAACTTTCATTATACAAAAAATAAAAAAATTCTGTAATGCCATAAAAATTTTACCGAAGAATATGACATTTTCGCATTTTCCAAAAAAATGGCATTACAGAATTTTTTTATATTTTGCTAAATGTTAGCTTTTAGCCCAAGTAAAATAATGCACGAAAAAAAATTGGGGGTCACCGTGCTTCTTTTCCAACTATACGAGGCGATAGACCATTTTGGAGTGAATTTCGTACACGTATGTCGTCATAGCAACGAACTATCTGTTACTAAAACTAATATAATTTGAAAGTAGAGTTATCAAAATATATAAAAAACCCAATATCTGCTGAATAAATCCTAAAAGTGCGTAGTTTGAACATGTCAAAGTGTTGAACACCTGAATTTTTGAAAACTGTATCGAGCCACCTTAAACTTGTATATATGTATATGAAAATAAATTGAGGTTGTGTTACAAATAACATAATTTAAATATATTGTGCATTTAAAAAAATACTGTTGATAATATATAGCATATAAAATGGAATAAAATAAAATAAACATAAAATACATTAATATGAGGAATGATCTGTAAATTAACTTGTTTCTCAAACGCTCATGTATCGGACGTAATAATGGAGATGTGTACATAGGACCAAAAAAAAATATGTGGGTTTCCGGTTTCTTCTTATAAAAACTTAGGTAAGGTAGGTCGGTTTTAACTTTTTTTTTAACTTTTTTTTTTAATTTTCCGAACAAGCGGACGCCATTTTTTTTTAGTCAGTGCTTCCACATCCAAAGATAAATTTCCCTAATATTGCCTCAAATTTCAATTTTCCACAAACTTTTTCCTCTAAGTGGAAACACTTACAAGCATGATCCAATAAAAAAGTTTAGGGTCGGGATTTCGACGTCCAAAAGCTAGGTAGGGTCGGGAAACCGGAAACCCACATATTTTTTTTGGCCTAGTCTGTCAAGCCTGCATGGTTTCCATATGGTCTAACGGTCGTAAAGATTGAGTCACGATCTTCTCAGCAGCCGAAATACAACGTTTTAGAACTGAAAATACACGGAGTGATTATAACTATAGAGAATACTTATGATTTATATGTGGTTTACAGGTATAAACTGTTATAAACTGGCCTTTGAGAAAGATCGTGACTCTATTTCTACGACAATATGGAAGCCAGGCTTTAAGATGTGATGGTTTGAAAACACAAAAGCCACAAAATAGAAGAGCTTTGTTTGATGTTGAACTGTACCTCACAGTGCACAAATCCTTTGTCTCAACTTCATTAAATATTATTCATCGTGGTTGCACGTTTCATCTCAGCTATCCCTATTGGACGCTTACTTCATTATACGAAAATACAATGAGCTCAATCACCGTGACCGTGCACAAATTAACATAAACACCGACAAAAACATAATACAACGACTTCTGTTTAGTTTCCAGGTTTAGTTTTGTACGACAAATAAATTTTAAACATTTAAATGGTTAAAATATATTGATAACATTGGCAAGAATTGTGTGTCTGTCGAAATGTGACTGCAAGGAATTTTCACTTCGATTTAAAGAATAATATTATGAAGTTAATAAGGCAATCATTTGCCGGTGCTTTCATTTAAATAACTTCTACCATTTAAATAATTGGTGCTGCCATTTAAATTATGAGTTACATTGTTAAAATAAAAATTTACAATAAAAAGTAACGCCAAAGCTGGGATGCCAGAGAATGTACTGTAATTTTACAGAAACTGTTTTTTAACTGAAGTCTGTGTTTATACTGTAAAAAGGCTGTAATTCAGAACAGCCTATTGCAGAGTAATTTGCAATTACAGTGTATTTACTGTAAAGGTTTACGATCAAACACATGTCATGATTCTTTTTAAATACAGTCCATTTTACCGTAACTTACAAGAATGGCTTACTGTAAAAGATTACGGTCAAACACATGTCAAATAACAGATTTCTTTTTAAATACAGTCCATTATATTGTAATTAAATACAGTCCATTATATTGTACGATTACAGTATATACCTACTATAAAACATAATAGTATATTATTCGAGAAAAACCAGATATTTTTAACAGCGTGTTAGCAAGTAACTTGAGGCTTATATAACTAGCTGTTTTGGAGTTGTTAATCAGTATTCTTCAGTGTCTCCATATGAATTTTAGTTGGCCTGCGTGTAACTCGGGGTGCACACCCCTGTGTACCCTTCCTATAAATCCACCACTGTTGTCTGTTGCATGGGCAAGTACACTAGCCTGCATCAATCTTACAGTACAGGGATTTGAAGAATTTTTCTCCTGAATTCTTAATTCAACTATAGGTAGGTAGGTAAAACTTTATTTGACTGCGCTAACGCCTACAGCAAAAACTGATTTCCTAGAGGGGCGTAGAGAATATTACATTAAAAACTTATAAATTACATACGCTAAATAACAAACATGACAATGAATAAAAATAAGGTAATTAATAAGTAGATACTTTCACTGGAAAAAAAAGTGAAATCCACACTATGAAATTTGCAATTGCACCACTAAATCCATAGTATATCCATATTATTTCCATACTATATCCATACTATTGAAATATACAATTATTATGGATAACCAAAATCCATTCTATTTCCAATAAAGGTCCATACAATTTCCATTCTATGACCTTCTATGGATTTTCAAAATTTTTTCAGTGTTTAAGATAAAGAAGACGGACAATCAGAATATTAATTCATTAATTCAATTAACCGGCCAGATGTCGCAATACATGTATTAAAGGTAGGAAGAGATTCCTTAATTCATCTGAGCAATTGTTCCACAATTTTGCCCCTATATAACTAAGACTGTTTTGAGATATTCAGTCTTAGGATTGGGCAAATACAGTTTAGTCGAAGACCCTCGTAAGATGAATTTGGAGATAGCCCCTTATCCTATGGAGGTAGTGTCGCTCCATGATTTGCAAACTTCTACAGCCATGCTAAATAAAAAATATGGATTAAAAGATGCTTTCCTTTATGGTAAAGTGTCGTATACTATACAGGTCTTAAAATATCGATCGGTCACGGACATTGTCCGACCCATTCGTGAAATTGTCCGACGTAGAGAGGCAACCACTGGACATTCTGTCCCACCTAAGACTCCTAAGTAAAACTAAGGTTTATTGTTTGTCCGACCTGAGTGAATTGATGTCCTTAACTTTGTTCAACGTAAATCAAAATGTACCCTAGTCCAGGACTAGAGGCTCGTAAGTTTATATGGAGAATCAGAGTAATGTATAAAAAGTGAACTGGAAATGTGTAATCAAGTGCGAGGTTTTCACCGTGGAAATTCATTGCCAAGATTCATGCAAATGACTTTTCCAAATTGTGCTGATATTAATTTGGGTCTGCATTCATACTTATTTCCAAGCCAAACTGAACTCAAAGTCATCGAACATTTTGTCAGACGGTTCTCTTACCGATATCTTAAGATTTGTTGTATATCGTTTAAGGTATATCGGTTTGTTCTGCTTACTAACTAGCTAACTCTTTCGCTGTCAAATGGAATCAACACGGTTGCTTGCTCGCTTTCATAAACTACAGGTGGCAGCATACATTCCTTATATATTTTGTAATTCGCCATTATCAAAACAATTTACCGCTATTAATGAAAAAAAAAATGGCAAAATAATTGAAAGCAATCTTCAATACTATTACAAATTATGAGAAGAAGATACACTTATTGAAGAAGAAATATGTGAGACAATTAAAGCAATTATTTTAATCTTCCCCTTCAACAGGTTCTCGTTTTGACCTAGTGATGGCAAGGACATGGAGTTATATTATATCGGCTTTTATAACTTGTCTCGTCTTGTCTGGCACACATGGAAAATTACTTGAAACCCATGGAACGAAAAGGTCTAAGACTACAACCGAACTGCATCGTCGGCGTTTAAAAGAAGCTGGCACGGTCAAAAATATATCGAATGTTAACAACGCGATTCAAGATGGCGGAACTATGCGACCGGTTCTGCACGACACAACACGAAATACAACAAACAGCGTACTGAAACGGACTGTGAAAAAAGGAATCGTTTTGAAGAATATGCTAACTTCGGCTTCACCTAGGCGACCGTTAAAGCTACTACGTTTGAAAACTGCTAGCCCGTTTACAAGGTCTGGTTTGACCTCGCTTCGATCATCAACCTTCAAACCTATTCATATATATGGATCTGTTCCGTTCAAAACATTCTTGAGCGCGCTTTCGAAATCAAATGGACAAGGAGCCGTTGCCCCGACTCCCGCTTTGCAATCCGATGTACCTCAGACGTCATCGAATGTGCCAATCGAGTCGCCACTATTACAAGCCAAAGCGTTACAGGCTAGGCAGTTCCTACCCCCCGGATCAATGCCGTTACCTGTGGAACCGCAGGGGGGTGTTCCTATGTTTTTGAGAACGCCAGGCGCTGGTTTTAATGGAGTTCCATTGGAAGGACCCATGCCAATGTTTCCTCAAGAAAATATGGCTAACTTTTATGGTTATCTTATGGGCTACAATGATCACCATAATCTTCATCACCATCTTCATCACAAGGGTAAGGACTATGTCTGAAACACCCATGCAGTTTTTATTCATTTCTTTTCTTCGCAGTGGCTTGAACTCCAAGCTGATCGACAATGCGATCCTGTCTACGCACGCAAAAGTCTCGCATCTTGTAGCAAGTCTGCCAACAAGTTGTGTTCGCACTGCTTGTCCCAAGTTGTCAACAAGTTTGGAACAAACTGTTAACAACTTGTAACAACCTTATTGATATTATCAGACTTGTTGCAAGGTTGTTCCAACAAGTCCGATACAGTCATGATATAACAGTATTGTTACAACCTTGTGTCGTCAACCTTGTAACATTCTTGTTATATTGTGACTGTATCAGACTTGTTAGAACAACTTTGCTACAAGTCTGATAATGCCGTCAAGCTTATTACAAGTTGTTAACAGCTTGCTCCAAACTTGTTACAACAACTGGGGACAAGCAGTGCAAACACAACTTGTTGACAGCTTGTGAACATATTTGTAACAACTTTTTTGCAGACTTGTGCGTTTTTACGTATGTAATTTATAGTCGAGTGATTGCTATGCAATTTCTACCTCCAATCAAAGTAAATCAAAGTCCTATATTCTCATGTTTCGGATTAGGAATAGAGCTAGGAAAGTCTATGGCAGACATAACAGACCTCATTATCTATGTTTTTGTTTTTGTTTTTGTTTTGGCTTATGCAAGAAATGGTTGGTTCATCGTCACGTGTGTATTGTATTTTCGAGAGCAACCAATAGCTATGTTTTCATCTAACCAATGTGTAATATCACGACTGGGTAATTTAACCAACACACTGCTATTGAGCTATTGCTTATTTAAAAGATTGAATATCATGAAATTGCCTGATCTTGTTTCTTTCCATCTTGCCAAATTTATGTACAAATTCCATAACAACTTATTACCGTGGCCTTTGGTCAGTTTTATATTCCGGTCCATGAGGCTTCTAATTATAGTACAAGACTTGCCGTTAAACAATCATACTATTTACCAAAAACTAGAACCAATTATGGTATCTTTAATATAAGATTCCAAGGTGTTAAAATCTGGAATTCTCTAGACGAGAATGTCAAATCTCTCTCTCTCTTGCAATTCAAAAAGAGAATAAAAATTGAAATGATCCAGAAATATTGAGAATTGTAACAAGAATTAACTTTATTATTTGATGTAAAAATGAACATTGTAATGAGGTTATTTTGCGTGCAGCTCTCTCCAACGTATATATCCTACTGGAGACAGCTGTTCTGTGAGCTAGTTTTATATTTATATTTTCCCCAGTCCTTATTGGCTGCACCCTCTTTCTAGCCCTTATGGTTATTTTGTGCAGCCAGTGCTCTAACTTATATATACAACATATGTAAACAATTAATTTTCTTTCCTTCTTGTGAGTACGAATAAAACATTATTATTATTATGCTTGATTAGGCGAAAAAACAATACACACGTGACGATGAATCGACCATTTCTTGCATAAATCAAGACAAAAGCATAGATAATGTTATGTCTACATCGAGTTTCCTAACCTACTCAGGGGCGTAGGAACCGGGGGGGGGGCACGGCGGGCACGTGCCCCCCCCCCAATTTTTTCAAAGGACTAAAAGTACCCTTTTTGTGATGAAAAGTGCCCTTTTTGTACAAGCTAATGTCGCTGTAAATACTAAATTAACATCAAAGGTGCCCTTTTTGTTTGGAAATTTCTAAGTTTTTTAAAACAATTTTGGTCAAAAACGTGCTATTTTTGTGTTGGTACGATGGGAAATTTTTTCTTCCCCCCCCCGGCGCCAACATTTCCGGGAAATATTTTTTAGGTGCCCTTTTCAATACCCTTTTAAAGTGCCCCTAGAAGCCGGTGCCACCCCAATCTTTTGATGCTTCCTACGCCCCTGAACCTACTTATTCTATTGCCTACGGTAAAACCAATGTAATGTTTTGTTTTCTAGTTTTTACTCGAGCCAAATGTTTTCCTAACCCCTGCCAGAATGGAGGCAGCTGTACTGCATTTTCGAGTTCTTATGAATGTTCTTGTCCCGTGGGTTTTAAGGGCCACAGCTGTGAAGGTAAGTTGGGGGAGGACCAGGAGGGTGTGGTGGCAGGGAAGGGGGTCGGGGGAGATGTACCACATTTTCAAGAGAGGGCCAACATATGGAGAAGGATGTGGGGAGAGGGGTTGAGCAGGGGAGTTAGATATAACCGTGCCACATTCTCGACGTAGTATGAATAATAGAGAAACAAACTGTTTGAAATAAATGATTGTATGGAAATCTGGTCTTGTATTTACTTTCGTATGAATTTAATACTGTTTCGAACGAGTACGTAAAACAGAGCTTTAACCTTCAGAGCAATGTTGATCAACTCTGATAAAAAAAACTACCTGTCACGGCTTGAAATGCTAGCACACTTTACAAGACGTGAAAATATACATTTTGCCGTTACCATCAGAGTCTGGGGGTGGGAAGGAGAGAAAGCGTACTGCATTTTTAGCGTCGTAATGAATGTGTACAATGCTCGAAATGAGGACTATAGATTTTAGACCTCCAATCAAGTTTATCTCTTACTGATCTAGTGTTACTACGGGAGGAAAGATAAACCAAATTAACTTTGTTTACACTCCGAGTGATCTGACGGTCAGCAAAAGGATTGGGACTAGCAACAGAATAGAAATCCAGTTTCGTACTTTTAATCACTTGTCATGCCCTGATTCTTTTGTGAAACTGTTTGAAGCTTAGTGTCTGTGTCTTGCACAGGGAAATGAATGTCTGGGACAAATTTAAGATAGAAATCTAATACCATTAATGAGATATTGAGTAATTTTAAACCAGAAATGGATTTCTATTTTACAACTAGTGCCAGGCCTTTTTCGAGTTTCGAGATCACCTGGCTGGACAGGTGTATCAGTTCTTAACTGTAAGTTTTCTTTCCCAGAGAGAAACCAGTGTATTCCCAATCCATGCAAAAACGGTGGGAATTGTTATGATGATGAAGATAACTACAAATGTACCTGCGTCCGAGGTTACACTGGTTATAACTGTGAAGGTAGGTGACAATCACTTGAGCCCCGGTGAAAAGAGGATGAGAGTTGACAAGAGTTTTCTCTATCGCTCGGTAATATCCAATCAACTCTCATCAACTCTCACGCAACTCTTGTTCTTGTTTGTCCAGGGCATTACGCTCCGGTCATCAACTCTCATTGACTTTGAACTGGTTCAAATCTTAATGAGAGTTGATAAGAGTTTTCGCTATCGCGCGGTAATATCCATTATTGGTTTTGCAATGTTGATAACTTAACAGACTAATTGTTACAAGTTGCTCCAACGATTTCTTATTTCCTTCTGCAATTTACCGACGTGTTGTGAAAGACAAACTTGCAGCAACTTGATAAAGAACAGCATTATCACAACTTGTTAACAATTGCTACCACTCTGATGCGATGTTCATAGAATGTGATATTTACACACCTAAGAAACTGCAATACGAAATAAATTAAGTGTTGAGTCCTTAATTCGTGAGATAAAATAAATTCTGAGTTAAACCCTAAAATGACATTTCATCCCTTTCGTAGAGATCAGTAAGTGTTTGCCGAATCCTTGCAAAAATGGAGCGACGTGCCTGGAGACTGCAGAGAGTTACCAATGTGAATGTGCAGAACATTATAATGGCGTTCACTGCGAAGGTAAAGCTGAAATATAAACTTTATTTATCCCTGAAAGCCCTACAGAGTATTGCCCCATAAAGGCTATCCCTTATATAAGTCCAGATTTATTACTAGCTGGAAACTTACATCTTTGCGTAAAGTCAAACTGGGAACAAATTTTGGTCAGACAAATGTGTTTTATAGCGCCCTTATTAGTCTTAGCTTATTAGACTAACCATTGTCTGGCGACGTCACCTTTTTTGTAGTCCTGAAAGGGTTATTAGAGACAGTACAATTTACGACGAGGCGTCAATTTATGCTATATACAAAGTCAAACAGCTACATAGAATTTGGTTACTGTATTGAAGTGCTACAAATCCCAAATATTTTTGGTGTATGTAATATTTGGGTCATTCTATTAAAGAAGACATGCAATATATCGTTATAGTAAAAAAACTCCTCTTGATCAACTTTTTCACTATTAACGTTTCCAGATATGCCGTCATTAAATGTATTTTTTGGAGAAATAAAAGAAAACTAATTTGTAATTCATCTAATAACATCTTGTCCGGAAACTTTGACAGTAAAAAAGTTAATCAAGATGAGGTTTTTTACTATAAAGATGTATTACAGTTCTTCTTGGAATGACCCAAATATTACAGAAATGTGGAGTCACAATTTAAAGTTTACAAGATTTTTAAGACTGACAACTTTACAGAGAATATCTCTGCGGAAACACAAACTGTTTATATTTTTTTCGTTTGCTGAGAATGCAAATATAAGGAATGTATTAATTTAATTAATATTTTATTCCTTTTCCCTGTCTTGTTTAGTCCATGATTACTGTGGTCAAAACGACCCATGTTTGAACGGGGGTCACTGCCATAATAAGGAGTCTGGGTACGAATGCAAGTGTGCGCATGGCTACAGAGGGCATGATTGTGCAGGTATACTACTTTATTCTTGGCCAGAGGCATGTAAGTTTTTTAAGCTTGTGAAGTTTTTCATTCAAGTCTTCCTACATATCTGTCCGACGAATTAGAACGAGTACAAAGACGTGCAATGAGGATAATTTTTCCTGAAACGAGGTATAAGGAAGCCTTGGAACAGGGACTTTTACAGTCACTTTATGACAGACGAGAATATTCATGTTTAGTATAATTACATAGGTGATTATTGAAAATTCTCCACGCTGATTGGTTGCCGTTGAGGTGATTATTACGCGATAATCACCTAAGCGATTTTCAAAATGGCGGCCGAAGCCTTTTTGTCAATTAAATGACGAAGAAATGTGTATTTTCTTATTTTTTCCAAATAATCACCTATGAAATTATACTAAAACAATTATTCACCTCAGGCTCGGTGATTATCGTGAATAAAAACCTCGACTTCGTCTCGGTTTTTATTCACCGATAATCACCTCGCCTTCGGCGAATAATTGTTAAATAAAGCTTTTTGAACAAATTGAACAAGATCCGAGTCATAAATTAAAGAATCTCTTACCTACTTTAAATACGTCTTTTGACAGCCTTCGAACCGTATAAGAAAGTATAAACTTCCTTTAATCAAAACAGACCGTTTTAAAAATTATTTTATACCTAGTCAAGCAGCGAAAGTGACGTTGTAAGCAACAATGAATTGTAAATAATTTAATATAAATTGTATAAATCATTTGTAATTCAGCCATTTTTTGGCTTTGTGAATTGGAAAGTGACGTTGTAGTTTTTAGCGTAGTAATATATTAAGCAACAATGAACTGTAAATAATGAACTTAGTATTTTATTTCATATCATTTGTAAATCATTTGTAATTCAGCCTTTTTTGGCTGCGCTATTTGATTCATTAAACTATCTAAACTATCTATCTATCTATCTAAGGGCATGGTAAAGAGAGCGCGGTAGTTAAGTATTGGTAGTCAAATTGTTATCTAATTTCATAGAATTTGACGTTTGCAATGAGAATCCCTGTGACAATGGAGGGATATGTAGGAACATTGAGGGAGGCCAGTTTACATGTAGGTGTGGTCATGGATATCGTGGGATCACTTGTGAAGGTAAGTAGCGTGTCTGTATTACAAATTCATATTATCTGTTGAACTGAACTATTAAGTAACTATGTTTAAACTGGATGCCTCTATCTGTTTTAAACTTCTACGAGGAATGCCTCTGTTTTCAAATTCCTAATTATTAATTGTTTTGAAAACGACTACTAGTGCTCCAATCGTTTATGGTATTTAAAATTATTTTTTCCAGAGAAGATCCCGCCTTGTGACCTTGAACCTTGCAAAAACGGGGGTACTTGTTTGGAAGAAACAGAAAAATATGTTTGCCATTGTCCAGAACATTGGAAGGGAACACACTGTGATGGTAAGTGTGAGAGTGACCGAACGACCTGCCCACTGACTTAATATTCTCACTGATATCATAGATTAAGTATGTACAAATGTGTAACTTCAGTAAAAAAGTTGCCCCGTTGTCGCCATCTTCCTAGCAAGTGTCGCTCGCGTTTCTACAACTTTAATTGCTTTCAACAACTTTAAACATTCAACAAATGATGCTCTTGATTGTTTAATCCATAAATTTCGATCCAACAAAGCCGCAAAAAGATGCAAAAGTTCGTTTTTTTCAGGACGCCAAAAAAGTTTCTTTTTTTTTAATTAGCACGATGTTTTTGCCTGGTCATGTTGTCCGTACTGCAATGCATCTAAAACTCAGTATATATCTACCAGTCCTAATGCATCAGTAAATTATAGTTCAGGTTATACATAACTTTAATTAATTTCTACCATGTATACGAAGGTGATGTAAATTTATAATTAAATCTTACGGCTTAATGCAGCACGAAATAATGGAGAAGTATTGTCTATATTACTTTCTTGTTGGTTTCATAATAAAAAATATGTTAAATAAATTTTTTTTGAGATTGGAGATATTTGAGCCTAAATCGGTCGGTCACATCTTCGGTCATAAAAAGCTTTGATCGGACAAAATGTAAAATTTAGCCGGACAATGTCCGATGACCGAAACTAATTTGCATGCAGGCCTGCTGGTTGTCATATAATCGTATTATTCCTTTGACAATACTGTTTCAGATCCAGTGCACACTCCGTGCAGTGATAGCCCATGTGTGAATGGCGGGAAATGTTTGGCTCTGGATTATGGAGATTATAAATGTCAATGTCCTCATGATTTCGGAGGGATGCACTGTGAAGGTGAGGCGTCGAAATTAGAGAATGGTTGAGTTAATTAAGCTCACTGTTGATATGAGTTGACTGCATATTATTGGTCGAATGAGTTAAACATCTTGTGAAAGTTGATGAGACTTGATGAAAGTTTCTGAGAGTGGATTGGCGAGTGAGAGTTTGAACTCTCATAAACTCTTAACCATAATCAAGGTTCAGAATTGTTACCGTTGTTTCCAAAAAATTTCCAATATTTACTCGCTTCGAGGCACTTTGTCAAGAGTGGAAGAACAGACAAACACGTTCCTTTAATAGTTCTTACTATAAATTAAAAAAAGAAACAAATAAACAGGTTTTCTTCTCTTATATCTTTCAGTGCAAGCTGAACCCACGTGTTACTCTTGTCACGAGCATGCCACGTGCAAGGACGACAAATGCGAGTGTTCAGATGGATATACAGGGAATGGACAATACTGTGAAGGTTTGAGTTGTTCCTAAAATTTTTAACTAACGTTTTACATGACGTTTCTTTTACGATGTCAACCAGGAGGAGATCTGTGTACGTCTTTAAATATATGCATCTGTGTGTCCTACACTGTAACATAAAACTCTAAGATTAGCTTTATCTTACTTAGATACTATTTTTTCTTTCTAGTTCTGAGTCGCTGTCATCCTAACCCATGTTATAACGGAGGAATGTGTCATGATCATGCCTCAGATTATGAATGTATTTGTGCTGATGGTTTCATGGGAAAAACATGTCAAGGTATAGATTACCTACATACATACCTACCCACCCACCCACACCTACCTACCCATCCACCTACCTACCCATTTACCTACACACCTACCTATTCACCCACCTACCTACCTACATACCTACCCTCCCACCTACCCAACCACCTACCCACCCACCTACCTACCCACCCACCTACCTACCCACCCACCTGCCTACCTATCCACCAGCTTACATCCATATCTATTTGGCTAGCCGCCTACCCACCCACCTACCTACTCACGTAACCAACCCCCTACCCACCTACCTACCCACCTGCCTACCTACACGTACTTACCATGTATCTATATATCCAGCTATCTACCAGGCTTAACATATATTATTTTTCTTCAGAACCGAAGCCTTGCCTAGCATCTCCCTGTCTGAACGGAGGTACATGTGTGGATCGCATAGGAATGTCATGTATAGGAGGAATGCCTTGTGGTCGTCATGGATATGAGTGTTCATGTCCTGTTGATTTCAGGGGACCTAATTGTGAACGTGAGTAGAAAGTGCCATTAACCCCAAGCATGATTTTTGGTATGTGTAATATTTGGATAATATAGTAAAAACCTCATTTTGATAAACTTTTTACTATCAAAGTTTCTGGGTATGACGTCCTAGATGAATTTTTTGAGCAAAAAACTTTTGACATCATACTCGGTAACTTCTACAGAAAAAAGTTGGTTGAGCTAAGATGAGATTTTAAACTATAAAGATATATTGCATTTTCCAGATGCCAGTTTTTGTCATCCCAATCCCTGTGAAAATGGAGGACAATGTCTTTCCGAGTCGACAACCTACATTTGTCAATGTCCCATACGCTATTCTGGCCAAAAATGCCAGGGTAAGTTTATTATTATTGCATATTATTCGGCACTAACGTAGCTATAGAATTCCTTTTCTCAGTTAAGCAATCTTGTATCGAGAAATCTCAAGGCCTTTGTTGCATTCGGGTCCGCAGTATTGAACTAGGGGTCCTGGGCAAAGTGTCCCCTACCAACTCTCAGCGGGCCTGGGGTTATATATTACTGTCACTATTGCCAGCTTATCATGTAATATGAAAAACAAACAAACATTGCATCGGTTAAACAGTTTTTATTGTTTACAGAGGACAAATGCACGAACTGTGATGTAAACGCGAAATGCGACAAGGGGAAATGTGTCTGTAATCCAGGGTATGTCGGACAAGGAACAAAAGGCACTTGTAAACCAAGTAAGTTATCAAAATAATGTCGTTTTTATTTGTTTTTTATCATATGATCCATTAATTAAAATGCATAGAACACGAAACGGTTTATGAAAATGTTTTTGTTTTCGCACAGAGTACATACATAGACCCTAACGTTTTATATATTTAAAGGCGCAGTAATACGAGCAACAAAATTGCTGTAACTTGCAACAAAATCTGATTTCAACGCATGTTAATTGAGAATGTTTACACATACATTACAAATCACGAGGCAACATATGTCAACATCTCTGCTTAACATGCGTTGAAATCAGATTCTCTGTACCGCATGTAGTGATTGATCGATAATCGGTATCGGCATCGGGCCGATTTTTGCCTTATCGGTAGACAATCAAAATCGGTAGAATTATCTATATTTCAGATTGTCTAATACCGATTGTTGAGAAAACGCGCACTTTAAAAATTCTATACATTGCACGTTGATACACGTTGCGTTTTAACGCAATATGTTAAATTAATGCGTGAAGCGTGCCATTTATGAACGGTTTTAACGATGTTTGGTTGCAGTAACATGTTACGTTGGAAATTATCGTTAAAAAATCGACACGAATGACGTCTCTTTTACTCGGTCGATTGATATTATGACGTCATTATAAAATCGGTATCTGGCAGATTGTGACATGAATAATCGGTAGCCTAATTTGCGAGTGTTGCACAATTGGTCAATCACTAACTGTATGTACCGGAAGCACAGGGAGTCGTGTTTGATTCCTTCCTTAAGTACAAAATATATTTCAAACACTCATTAAAAATTCATAAACCTTGTGGCAAATCATGTCAGCCATGATATGTCACGTGGAGTGACTTTATGTCTGATAAGCTTTATCTTCTTTAGTATTCTTTATATAATAACATACATAAAGATATTACTCGACTGTGATTGGTTGATTTCAGTGCATTTAATCCCAAACAGCAGTGCAAAAATCTGTAACAATAGTGGTCAGTGCAAAAATCTGTATACTAATTGTTCATCCCAATTAGTATGATTATATAATTGTTCATCCTAATGAGTATTTTTTTGTAGTCGTGTTAAGCTATTCAAAACACTCGAACTCCCGTTTTATCATATCTAAAACGCTCTGCTGCGCCTCGCGTTTTACATATGATAAAACACTTCTCGTATTTTAAATACTACATATGGTTTTGGAGAGTTTCATTCAAAAATACCCTTTAATATTTTTCAGTTGTCCAACCTACGGAGAAACCACGCGTGGGGCTCAGCCCAGGCCGACTCACCCCCACCCCCACACCCCCTGTTGGTTTGAGCCCGGGCCGACCTGCCCCGACCACACCTGTCGGCCTGTCACCCCCACACAATCTTCCACAGCTCAATAAATGCACTCCAAACCCCTGTCAAAATTCGGGCACTTGCATCCCTATCGGGACTGTTGACTTTGCCTGCAAGTGCCCGCCTCAATTTACTGGAAAGTTATGCACAGAAGCAGCCAAGAGTTACTGCCACCCGAGCCCTTGTTTAAACGGAGGGATTTGTACGCAGAGTCCTAATGGGTATAAATGTCAGTGTGTTGGACATTATAGAGGAACAAACTGCCAAGGTACGTCAAAATTTATTGACTTTTGGTGTTCTTGTTTTCATCTCTTTTTATACCGGGTATCCCAAAAAACTGGGGACCCTGTTTGATTTCATGTAAACGTAAAAACTATTAAAGCTATCGCAATGAAATAAAGATCATTGCTTTTAGAAAGGACTAAAAATCCTGTCACACTATTGCGTATCGTACAAGCGTATGCCAGCGTCTGAAAAATATCACTCATGCGCCGGTATACGCTGACATACGCTAGGGGTACGTCAGGCATATATAGGTTGTATACGTTTCAAGCACGGTCGCATACGGTGGCATACGGCGAGGCAGAAAATATTTTTTAAGCATGTTCAAAAATTTTGTGCGTATCGGACGTATGCTTTATACGATAAGCATACTCTAGGCACACGCTGAATACGCTAGAGGCACGCCAGATGTACGGTACTCATACGCTGGCATTTCAAAGGATTTTTGTGCGTATGAAAATTATTTCATTAATTTTCTCAACGTCTCTCTCATACGCAACAGTGTGACAGGGCCTTAACTTAGATTTTGATATATTACATTTGAATTGACATGTAATATTCAGCGAGATACAACCGTTTGAATTTGGAATACGTTTTAGGAATCGGTGAAAACTCGGTAAAAATTGGCTAGTTATAAGGTTGTTTTTATGCTAATTTTTAGCATTTTCAAAAACAGTAGTTCAACGTTCAAATATCAACAGCGCAGTCAATATTGCATGTAAATTCAAGTGTTATATATCAAAATCTACGTTAGTCCTTTCTGAATGCAATGATTCTTATTTCATTGCGATAGCATTTATAGCTTTTACGTTGTATGAAATCAAACACTGTTTTTTGGGACACCTGGTATATCTCTGTTTTCCCATATTTTTTACGTATACTATTCAAAACACGAGCAGGGGCTGGTTGTATAAAAAAGTGATTAAAGTTAATTATAATTAAGTGGAAATGTCATCCAATAAAAAGCGCCTATTTGAGAGTTAATCACTATTTAACTACAAAATAGTGATTAATAAAGTGATTAAGAGTTTTATACAACCGGCCCCTGGAGTGTTTTATCACACATAAAACACGAGGCGACTGCGAGAGTTAATTAATGATTGTTAAACACTGAATTAGTTCCCTTAAACGTTTCTTACAAATCCTTCAAAACTTAGAATTTACCCATGCAAAGGTTAGCAAGATTTTTCTGTTTTTTTCAGTGGATGATTGTGATCGATGCGACATCAGAGCTATTTGTGTGAAAGGAAAATGTCAGTGTCGCGTTGGCTACAGCGGTAATGGATATCAATGTACTAAAAGTAAGTAAGCTGTATGTTGTTTTCACGTCTTAAAGGAAAATGGCAATATATTTTTTTATTTTCTCATTTGAAAGAAGTTTTATGTACTATTTAAAAAACGAGCAGGAGTGTTTTATTAGGTTTAAAGCCACGAGCGCGCAGCGCGAGTGGCTTTAGACCTAATAAAACACGA